AGGCAAAAAGTGATTACAAAAAGCAAGCAGTGCCTAAAAGAAATGCTAGCAGGGACCTGAAATGTTACAATTGCGGAAGTGAAGTGGAAGTGGAAGCAACTAACATGTGTAAGGTGTCATCTGCTCACGCGTTTATGTGCATAACAGTGGAAGCTAATAACGTTACATTCACCGCTCTAATCGACACCGGAGCAAATACAATTTGGTTACCGATACCACGTTTAAAAATCTAAAAAAGCCAAAGCTAAGTGAGTGTAATATCTATCTCATCGGGTTCGGAAAATCAGACCAAAACAAGATCAAACCGTCGGGCTCGTTTGAACATAAAATAACAATTGATGGTGAACATTTCGTAACAAAATTTCTGGTGGTGGAGTCGCCATTCCTGGACAAGGAGATGAAGAATTTTGCAAACAAGCTTAATTGACAATATCCAGTGAGGGCGTGAAAGTAACCAAACCTACCAGTACCGTGGCATATATCAGTTCGATTTATAAAATCGATACTGAAGACTGCAACCAAATAGTAACGGACATCGAACCAGCAGCAAGCGCGAAACCTAAAGAGGTAGTACACAATGTTGTCGAAAACTATCAAGCGGTAAGCACAAAATCCACAAACATTCAAATGCGTTTGACTCTTAATGAAGATAAGCCGTTACATTCAGGACCTCGCAGATTTTCGTATTCTGAGCGATGCTTCATAGATAAACAAACCGACCAGTGGCTGAAAGACGGTGTAATTAAAACCTCAGAGTCAGAATACAGCAGCCCAGTCGTACTTGTTAACAAACGTGACGGATCTCATCGCTTATGCATCGATTACAGGGGAATCAATAAAGTCATTATCAGAGACCATTTTCCACTTCCTTTGATTCCTTGGATTCTAGAAGAAGGGAGCCGAAAGTATAAGTCTTTCGTCCCACACAATGGACAATTCCAGTTTCTTTGGGTTCCTTTCGGGCTTTCCAAATCGCCGAGCGTATTTCAGCGACATGTAAATGCTACCTTCATAAACCTGACTTGTAAAGGTGTAGCCATACCATGCGTCGACGGCATTATAATACCAGCGAAAACCGAAAAAGAGGCTGTAGAAAACATCATCGAAGTTCTGAAAAGATGCTCAGAATATGGACTGTTAATTAACTTCAAAAAGTGTCATTTTCTAAAAACCAAAATCGAGTACTTGGGCCACATAATTGAAAATCAGAAAATAAGTCCGTCTCCATCCAAAACACATGCTGTGACATCTCTTCCAGTTCCGACTAACCTAAAGCAGCGGCTTGGTGGGTTATTTTCGCAAGTTCATCGCCAATTTCTCGCAGATAGCGAAACCCCTATCTGATATGACCAAACAAGATGCGAAAATTCAATTCGGTGACCAAGAGCTAGATGCGTTTAACAGGCTGAAGATTCTCATCACGCAAAAGCCAGTCCTAAAAATTTTCCATCAGCAACACGAGACTGAGCTACATACGGACGCTTCAATCGACGGTTTCGGCGCAGTTTTGTTACAAAAGAGTCCAGACGGTAAGCAGTGGCATCCGGTATATTACATGAGCAAAAAAACGACCGAGGCTGAAAGGAAGTTCACAAGCTACGAGCTCGAAATCTTTGCTGTAGTGGAAGCCTTTAAAAAGTTCAGGGTCTACTTACTGGGTTTTGCGATTTCGACTCGTAACAGATTGTAATGCTCTAGCCAAAACCGTAGAAAAGAGAGACTTGTGCTCACGAATAGCCCGCTGGATCCTCCAGTTGCAAGAGTTCGAATACGTCGTCGAACACCGACCTGGCACACGAATTCGCCACACTGACGCCCTGAGCCGTGCATCCATGATGATGATTACACAGGCTTCATTGCATAGTAGAATCAAAAACATTCAGGCTCAAGACGACCAACTAAAAGCTATCATAGACATTCTGGCAGATAAGACAACCCATAACAATTACTTCTTGAAATCGGGGCTCCCACACAAAGTAGTTAACGACTGTGAACTTATAGTTGTGCCTTCGGGTATGCAACAAGAAATCATTAAACAGGCACATGAGCATGGTCATTTCTCCGTCAAGAAATGTAAAGAGATTATTGGAAAATAATTCTACATACCAAAGCTGGAGGAGAAAATTCTGAAGTGTATAAGCTGCTGCATACCTTGTATTGTCAGCAACCGTAAGCAAGGAAAGCAAGAGGGCGAACTTCATCCACTCAGCAAAGACGAAAAGCCGCTGCAGACATATCACATCGATTTTCTTGGCCCTTTGGAATCTAATCACAAACAGTATAAGCACATACTAGTAGTAACCGATAGTTTCACCAAATTTTGTTGGCTCTATCCGACCAAGACGACCTCTACCAAAGATGCTGTATCGTGACTTAACGAGCAAAGCAAAATCTTCGGCAATCCTAGTCACATCATTTCTGATAGAGGATCTGCGTTCACGTCAGAAGACTTTCAACTGTACTGCAACAGCGAAGGTATCAAGCATCATCTTATCACAACGGGCCTTCCACGGGCCAACGGTCAGGTCGAGAGGCTTAATACAACGATAATTGCTGTTCTTTCAAAACTCTCAATAGATGATCCTCGACAATGGTTTAAGTTTATCAGCAGCGTACAACAGGTCATCAACTCATCATTTTGCAGAAGCACGAAAACAACGCCTTTTGAGTTACTGACGGGAACCAAGATGCGTCTAAAAGCCGATACACAGATCCAGCAAATGTTAAATGCGGAAATGATTCAGCTCTTCAACGACGATCGGGATGAACTTCGAAAACAAGCCAAGACAAGCTTAAAGTCCAGGAGGAAAATAAAAGAAAATATAACCTACGACGAAGACCAGCATCAAAGTACAGAGTCGGCGATTTAGTTGCTATTAAAAGGACTCAGCTTGGTCCAGGCCTAAAGTTAAAGCCGAAATATCTCGGCCCATACCGTATTGTAAGGGTGAAATTGAATGATACCTATGACGTAACCAAAGACTCAGTATTTAGCGAAGGCCAAAGGCAGGCGAGCACTTGCGCTGAGTATCTAAAGCCGTGGATTCCTTATGACGACAATAAAGACGACGCATTCGAGGCGAATGCAGTGTAGGATGGCCGATTTGTGGGATTGGTCTGGCAACATAGAGCAGCTTGTGGTAAAGAAGAAATGGAGAACAATACGACGTGGCAAGCCTGCCAAACTAAAAGACGAAAAAAGCAGAAAGAATACGCGGAACGAACCGAGAAGACGAAAAATACGACGCATTTGGTGAAAAGAGAAGAAGAACATAAAAAGACGCAGACTAATCAGTTTAATCAGAACAATTTATAATACAAAAACTCATTTAAATTAAACTATAATAAATATAATACATAAAATAAAACAAGTGGGAGCGTTCAACTTATTTGGAAAGTATAATCACAACCCAGTCCCACATATATAAGTTAACACGCGCAATTTAAAATTCAGACACGCGCAAGGTCAAATTAGCTGACAGCGAATTCCGGGGCTAATGCTTTCTGCCCAACTCCAGCACGCCTGCGACGAGTGATCGTTGTTGGGTGGATGAAAGGTGCTGACACTGCACTTAAGCGACTGCGCTGTCACCCGAAAGAGGTATGGAGTTGCAGCTGCGAGAATATTTAAGTTAGTCTGAGAATATTCTCCAGAGTGGTAGCTCTGCCATAAAACCTATTAAAAGTACCTATGGAAATAATAGGAAATACCAATAAATACAGTTTCATTAATTTATATACTTGATGGGGTTGGAAACATCTCCTTCACCGCGCTGCAAACTTCTGACTGGAATCATTATACCCTCTGCAAGGGTATACAAATTATAGCTTCGCTGTTTTTGACACATATTAATTTCTACACTTACGAATATCATTCTTTTACAACTTTAGCATTTCGAATTTAATTTTTTAAAAATCGGACGACTATATTATATAGTTGCCTATGGATGGATCGGATATTTTATGGGAAAACAATAGGAAAATAATTAAAGCATTATTACTTTTGAACAGATCATGTTCTTCTTTACTCCGGGACATATCATATAGCTGCCATAGGAAGAATCGAAAAATGAATGTAAAAATAATACGTCAGCCACTATGTTTCGTTTTCGGTAAAACAAATACGTTAGTCAGTTTAAATGGACTATTACCTTAATGTTTCTGTAATAAGCAGCTGGGCTTGCTGACAATCGGAAATCAAATCAATTGGATCAATTAAAAAATACTATTCTGCTGCTTCACAAAGAAATGAAATGTAAAACAAGGAAAAACGGCCTCGACCATCAAATACACCTTACTCAGCTAACACAAGTGCGCCTCATATCGTTCATTCCTATCGGTTGTTCACAAAATTTCACTAACACGCCAGAGAACAAGAAACCTATGTGGCGGGTCGGGCTTTTCGTTATCGGTAATTGTAAGCGTAAGAGGGGACGTGGCGCCTTGCGCTGCGCAGGAAGTCCAAGAATCGACATTCTAAATTCTAACATTCAAGAACCTTCATGCCAAGTCCCAACACTCTAGCTCTTATAGTTTCCGAGGTCTCAGCGTTCATACGAATAGATGGACAGATGTACAGACGGGCATGGTTAAATCGAGTCGGCTAGTACGTTCCACATTCCAGAAACAAGATTAAACATGCCATTTTTGATTGAGGCGAGAACTGGGCTTTACAAAGGCTGTTACCGTAAATAAATTTAAAGTGGCCTTTTCTGAATCAGGGTTTCCGCTTTACCGAAGAACCAAATTTTCCCATGATAAACATTTTGACAATATAATATTGTAAACTGGTGTTATTAAAAAAAATTCCGTTTTATTAAATTATGTCAATTGATTTCATATATATGATTTTTGAATAAAACGATCGGCACTAGGTCCACCCCTCTGGCTAGACACCGTTTAATGAAGTGTAATTTTAAAAATCTGCAAGTGCTTAAAAACTTCGGGTTACCGAATTCAACTTACGTCTCGCTTTTTAATAACAAATAATCTTTCCGTAGGTTATGGCTCAATGGCCATCTGCAATGCTGTTGGCTCAAACACATTCGACATTTTCGTATGTCTTGGTCTGCCCTGGCTACTGAAGAGCCTGATTCACCAGCGCATTATCGTGATCGATTCCTCGGCTCTCACCATCACCACGGCCATGCTAGTACTTACAGCCGTCATCCTCTATGTGGGTTTCCTCATCAGCAAATTTGTGTTGGGCAAGTTCGTCGGTTGGACCAGCCTAATCTCCTATATAATCTTTCTAATCATCGCATGTTTACTGGAGATATTGTTGAACAAAGAGAATATCTGCGACATTGAGGAATCCTAATTAGTATAAAATCCTATATGAACAGGAAGCCTATCAATTGTTTTAAAAAATTATTATAATAATATAAATGAGTATTATTATGTTATCTTATAATATATTTTTCACTGTGAGCAAACGTGATAGAAAGAGAAATTTATTGTTTTTATTTGGCTTTGTAACTTTTGAAAAAATATGTTCACTTTTTTCTACTGGCTGTGACGTAAACGACGATGTTCTTGCTAGACACGGGCGTAAAAATAATACTTATTAACTAAATGTCGGATTTTAACCATTTTCAGCGTGCCGATAATAATTGACAACAGGAATAAAATAAAATTTACTTTAAATCTGAATCTTGGAAAACGTTGGCGCCACAGTTTTGGGCGGTTTGATGGCGATAGTGTGGGCTGATATAAACTTGCACTGCGCAAGAACCTCAAAAACCTGCACGCCAAATCCCAACTTACCAGCCTAAATTGATTTGGAGATCTTAGCGTTCATTCGGACGATCGGACAGACGGACACGGCTAATTCGATTAGGCTAGAGTAAAAATTGTCTGATTTAAAATGTTTCTAAATGACTAAAGCATTGAAGCATGACTATAGCATGACTCGCGTTTCTGGGAGTCCCCTGCCGGCGCTGTGCCAAACCCCCCAACACTGTAAACCAGTGGTACCAACATAAATACAATGAAATGTATGACTTGAATATGTATACAAAGCAACACTTAAAAGTTTTGTTTTTTTAGTTAAGAAGCTCAGGAATCTGCATGCCAAATATCAATAGCATGGCTCTTATAGTTTCCGATATCTCAGCGTTCATACGGACAGACGGACATGGCTAGATCGACTCGGCTAGGGAAGAATATATATACTTTATGGGGTCGGAAACGCTTCCTTTTGCCTGTTACATACTTTCCGACGAATCTAGTATACCCTTTTACTCTACGAGTAACGGGTATAACAAGGAAGAATGTTATTGTCGAGTACCTTGACCCGTTACTCAGCTAAAGGGACCAAAGGGAGATGGAGATATGCAAGCAGCAAAGCGGGATTGTAATGCGCCACCTACCCGCGATTTCAAAATATGGTTATGTGGGCGGCAGACAGATTTAAGTGGGCGTGGCTAACTTTTGTTGGGTCAGTCGATAGGTATTGACGAGGCCACAGGTTTGGGCGGCTTGTGAGCGTTAGAGTGGGCGTGGCATATTCGCGTAACAAACTTGCGATGCGCACAAGGCTACGGAATCTAAATCTTAAATCCCAATTCCCTTTCCTTGATTGTTTCCGAGATGTCCGCGTTCATACTTACAATTTCTTAAAGTTAGTGGCCGATTTGTGGCCGTTAAAGTGGCCGCGGCAAACTTTTTTTTGAGTGAGTCGATAGGTATTAACGAGAACAATAAATCTTTATCAATCTTTATGCAATCTTTATTCTAGCATTGAAACTGGAGGTACCACCGGTTTGGGCGGTTTATAAGCGTCAGAGTGGACGTGGCAAACTTTTTATTCAAGCTGTAACTGTAGGAGCCACAGCTTTGGGCGGCTTGTGGGCGTCAGAGTGGGCGTGGCACCTTGCTGAAACAAACTTGCTCTGCGCAAGAAGATCTCAGCGTTTATACGGACAGACGGACAGACGGACATGGCTAGATCGACTCAGGTAGTGATCCTGATCAAGAACATATATACTTTATGGGGTCGGAAACGCTTCCTTCTGCCTGTTACTTACTTTCCGACGAATCTAGTATACCCTTTTACTCTACCAGTAACGTGCGATTTTTTTTAAATTTAATCCTGAGTTCTGAAATATTAAAAGAATGATATTTTCAAGAGTATATTTAATATGTCAAAAAACACAGACGTTTTACTTATACCCATTACTCGTAGAGCAAAAGGGTGTACTAGATTCGTCGGAAAGTATGTAACAGGTAGAAGGTAGCGATTCTGACCCCATAAAGTCTGTCCTTTTATACGCTGAGATCTCGAAAACTACAGGAGCTATAAAGTTGTGATAAAGCATGCAGATTCTTGGGCTTCCTGTAAATGATTTCAGTCAGAAGTTTGCAATGCAGTTAAGGAGATGTTTCCGTACCCATAAATTATTTATATTCTTCAGGCGAGTGGATTTAGCCATGTCCGTCTGTCCGGAAACTTTAAGAGCCACGCCCACTCTAAGGCCCACAAACCGCCCAAAACTGTGGCGCCTACGGTTTTGATCCTAGATGCAATTTTAACTGAAATGTATTGGTCTCGTCAATACCTAACGGTTGACATAAGAAAAAATTTGCCACGCCCACTCTGACACGCTTAAATCTGTCTTCCGTCCATATTACCGTATATTCAAACCGCATATAGGTGACGTTTTACAATCTCGCTTTGCTGCTTTTACATCGCCATCTCCTTTTTGGTTCCCTTAGCTGAGTAACGGGTATCTGATAGTCGAGGCAGTCGACAATAGCTTTTTTTAAATACTTGAAATGTTTTTCTATCAGGGAATAACACCGTGGTAAAATCAAGTGCAAACAGTCTTGATTTAAAAAAGATTTCATGTTAACTATTTAAAACCTTTCGACTTACATATTAATGTAATTTAGATATATCTCGTTTATTTCATTTTCAGTTCCCAATACTGATTTCATCATTTTTTATCATCAAATAATTATTTCATAGTTTTCGGCAACATGTTAGCATTAAATGTTTTTCATTCTGAACTGAAATGGGTTGCACTTTTTATCTCTCAATAACTTCCAAACGGTATTTTTAGTGTCCAATAGTGTTATAAGTCAAAAGTTGGGGAATCTTAAAGGCTATGAAGCTTCTTTAAAAAGAAAACGTTTGAACAAATTTTGAGAAAATGTCTAAAGAATGGTAAGAAAAAACGTTTTACTATAACTTTAAATTTATTGTATTTAGACAGTTTATGCAAAGGTAACGTAATAAGCATATCGAATTACCTTTTCAACGACATATAGAACGTATCATTAGTTGTTAAAAACTATAAGCCTTTTAAATTTTTCTTTTTTGAATTTCCCGCCCAACTAGCGGGTTTTTTGAAAGCTCCTACAGCAAAAGTTTTCTATCTCGAACTTCTTAATTCACCAATAAAGTCCCCAAGACACGAAGACCAAAATGACCGAAAAAGTCCCACAAAGGGACAAACAATTTCATTTCGAAAAGATTCTACAAAATCTTGTTTTTGGATAAACTTTTGAACGGAGCATCAGGTTTTGCCAATTGATTGGATATAACAAATAACAAATGTCATTCGATGCGTACTTGCACCGGTCCCAACAGCTCCAATTTTCTTTTGTTTAATTGTTCCCAAACCAATTAAAAGTATTTAAGTCTTGGTATGCAATCCTTTAAGTTATTGCGATACCTTTCGAGTGGGGCATCACTGAGATGATCGGACCATAACTGAAGATTTTCAATATTGCTACGTCGTCACTACGTGATCTGCATTCCACAGTGATTAAAATGTATTGCTTACAAGATTTTAATATAAATCGAGAAAAGAAAGGCCAATCGCACCCTTTATAAAAAATTTTTTGCCTAGGCGATTTTTTTTTTAATATTACACTAAACAATTACAACAATATTACAAAATTGCGGTCGGTAAAGCTGCAAGGAAACCCATTTTTAAATTATTCTTTTCTGTTCGCCCTAAAAACTTAAAACTCAAAACTTAAACTAAATTGTATAACTAAGTTGTATGGGTGCCACTTCTGGTCATGGAATTGTCTTTTTAAAAACTATAAACCAAGGAAGAACGCTATAGTCGAGTACCTCGATTATCAGATACCCGTTACTCAGCTAAATAGAGATATGCAAGTAGCAAAGCGAGATTAAAATGCGCCACCTACCGGCGGTATACAGATTTAAGCGTTATGGGCGTTAGAGTGGGCGTGGCAAATTTTTTTTGGACCAATCGATAGGTATTGACGAGACCAATACAATTCAGTTATTTATTTTTATCTAGCATGAAAATTGTGGGCGTCACAGGTTTTCGCGGCTTGTGGGCGTTAAAGTGGGCGTGGCAAACTTTTCTTTGGGTCAATCGATAGGTATTGATGAGAACAATACATATCAGCTAAAATTTTCTATCTAGCATCAAAACTGTAGGAGCCACAGTTTTGGGCGGTTTGTGGGCGTTAGAGTGGGCCTGGCACTGTACTTGCGCTGCGCAGGAATCTCAGGAATCTGCGTGCCTAATCCCAGTATTGTAACTCTCATAGTTTCCGAGATCTCAGCGTTCATACGGACAGACGGACATGGCTAGATCGACTCGGCTAGTGAACCTGATCAAGAATATATATACTTTATGGGGTCGGAAACGCTTCCTTCTGCCTGTTACATACTTTCCGACGAATCTAGTATACCCTTTTACTCTACGAGTAACGGGTATAAAAATAACCTCTTACGAGGTAAAAACAAGGAAGAACTATGTATTGAACTATTGATATCAATCAAAAACACACCTTAACGAGGTAAAAACAAGAAAGAACGCTGTAGTCTAGTGCCTCGATTATCAAATACCTCTTACTCAGCTAAAGGGACCAAAGGGATATGGAGATTTACAAGGTGCAGGGCGTTGGAAAACTTATTTTGAGTCAATCGATAGGTATTGACGAGACTAATACATTTCAGTAAGAATTTGTATTCTTACATAAAAACAGTAGGAGTCACATTTCGTTTGTGGGCGTTAGAGTGGGTGTGGCACCGTAACGAAACAAACTAGCGCTGCAATCCCAGTATTGTAGCTTTTATATTTTCCGAGATCACAGCGTTCATACGGACAGACGGGCATGACTAGATGACAACAGGTATACTAATTCCCAACAAGCTGGTTTCAGCAGGGCCAGTACCACTCTAACTCCCAGAAACGACCATAACATTAAAATCCGCCCAGCGCACTCCTTTCTTAAAATGTTGTAAAAATGTAAATGTTGTTATAACAAGACAGGACATTAAAAGGCTATTACCAAATAAGCAATATTTTTTAATTCAATAGAGATTGCACA